TTATTTTCATGGATAACGCAAGCTATCACGACCGTCTGCCACACAAAGCACCGGCCTCACCAAGTTCAAAAACTGAAATCCAGAAATATTCACGTCCTCTTCCATATCATTGCATGACGAACCGCGTAGAACATTTGTAAAAACAAGTTAAATTAAAGGTAAATGTTACTCCTACTTTAAGTCCCACTGTTATAAATTTCATGGATATTGTAATTAACAACAATATTTCTATACAGAACCACATAAATCCTAGTGAAAAAAAAAATAAATTTTCAGATTCAGAATAAAAATGTAATTACATATAGATATTCCTAGCTATGAATTTATTGAATATATTTTTTCTTAGTGTAATTTAATATTGCCAAAACCTTTGAGATTCCGTTGCTAATATTCTATTAATCCTACCAGACCCGAGTTCTTTCAATGATTGCGATGGTGAAAACAGAAAAACAGTTGAATGTAGGGTTTAGGAAAAAAATGAAGAAAATTAATTTTTAAATGGGTCACCCTGTATATTTTTTACTCTAATGTTGCGTGAGAAATTCGAGCAAATATATAAACTTGGATTTTCTCTTTTCGTTTATAAACTTACATGGGCTGCTCATATTGACTATCTGTGAATCTATGAATATAAGAGAAGTCTCTATAGATATTTTGAAATTGATATATTTTGGTCTTATACGATAATAAAATAGAAAAATTAAGAAGTTTTTTTTTTTAATTTTTTATCCCATAAAATAAATAAGAACTAAAAGTTCACACCGCGTCTTCATGAAAAGTAATATTTACAAACTACCTGCTTCTATATATACCTAAAAATGACAATAAAACCTTAATTAATGTTGTCGTTAGAATTTAAGTTTAATAATGGAGAGGTATCTAAATCGAATTGATTGCTAAGCAATACATTTGAATGTCTCATTTTGTTAATCTCCATGGCTTCCAATAAATTCAATTTTCTACTTTTTGTGAATGTATGTAAAACATCAAAATTGTCGTCAAAAATGTGTTTTTCTGTGTTTAAGTTTGTAGCATAATTCGAATCTAGACTATTGTTTTTAAACGCTCTTTTATGTTCGTTAATGCGATTCTCGAAGGATCTACCTGTTTGTCCAATAACACGATCCGCATTTCAACCTGTAGACACCTCATTTTTGAGATTTTGGACATTTCGTTTTATTGTTTTTTAAATATTTTCCTATTGTGTTGCTAGTTGTGAAAGCTATTTTTAAACCACATTTTGACAAATGTTTTGAAACCTTTTCACTAGCTTCTCCTATGTATGTAATTGTTTTAAATTGTTCGTGTTCTGTATTAGGTTTCGGATAAATAAAGTTTACTGTTGTCTGGATTTGTTTTTTATTTAAAATTTTATCGATAATGTACGGATTGCAGCCGTTGTTCAGTGCTATTTGTTTAGTGATGATTTTCTATTGAGAGTGGCGTATTAGGAAGTCTGTGTATAAAAGGGTGAAATGCAGCCATTTTGTGTGTATAAGGGTGATTTGAGCTGTTATGTATGACTGTATCCCTGTGTGAAGGTTTATGGTAAACGGAGAAATCTTTTTTTTTGCGTTTTCGTAATAGTTAAGACTAAAAAATTAATAGAGTTACCCTGTTCAATCTCGATACTGAGTTAATGTAATTTAAAAAAGAATTCAATTGTCTGTCCGTTCCAACAAAGCAAGCAAAGACATCATCCACGTATCTATACCACCATAGAAAACTTTTACTTAAAGGATGTTCTTGTATGATATTTTCCAAATTATCCACAAGAATCTAGGCTAGCGAAGGATTATGTGGGTTTCGCATAATCCTTAGAGATGTAAATCTGTCTATTAAATTCAAAATAATTTTGGTCTATAAATGCTATTAAGCAACAACAATTGTCATGTGAATATGTATAATTCCGTGGAAATCTGAACTTTTAGTTCTTATGTATTTTGATAAATGGATTTTCTTCAAGGTTAACTCACCTCAGTTCAATCATTAAAAAATATATTAATCATAAACATATACATACAAAAGCATGTTGGAATCATGCATATGCAGATAATAAAACTATACCGGGTAATAACGAAACAAAATGGCGTGCGGTAAAAATAGGCAATTTGGTATGTTGGTAGGATTAAAAATTTTGAGCATTTGTAGCATAGCTACTACAAAAATAACAACTAGGCTAAAAGAACATGAAAGGGCGTGCGACAAATAAACTCATCAGCAATTGCAGTTGTCATAAGTCATTCAATGTTTAAATTCAGTTTAACTTTATCTAAAACAATATGGCAAGGTATTTTAGAGAATCAGAGCACCTGACTTTCCGTGGCTCCGTGAAATCACATTTGCAAATAAACCCTTTAATAAATATTGGAATATAGAAAGGGTCGCTATGTTTCCGTCAGGTTGGAAAGCCTAATTATTCCAAGAATAAGGGAAAGTTGGCCCCAGAAGCGATCCTTGGTGAACTCCTACGTGCTGAAATGGTCGCTGAAATCTCACCACCACAGAGTTGGGAGTCGCGATCGCAAATCGCAGGAAATGCGGACCGGGGGTTGGCTTGGGGGTGGTGTAATGGAGGGGCGGGGTTGCGCTTTGCATAATTAATGACGCGATGTTTATGCGGGGTGGTTTTAAATTTGCGGGGAACAGAACAGATTACGAGATTAAACATACGAATTCCCTGAATTAACCATGAGATTTTAATTAATATATCCGCGGCATCGGGTTTAATTGTGTTACGCGTAGCTGAAATTAAAGTGCGGCGGATTTACGGGGACTAGAGCAAAAAAAAAGCGAACACGAATCAATATACGCCGATGGAGGGCGCTAGCATCGCCCCACTTTAAAAGTATTCGTCGACTAACGTCGAAATAAGTGAACGGCTTGGCAACACCGCGTCGCAGCATAAACGTTGCGAGTGAATAGCGTTTCAATTGTAAATTCGCAATGTAGAGACGGCATAGTTCAAACTTTGCGAAGGGATATGAAATTAACGCTGAATAATAATAATAATAATAATGAATTTTATTGCCCAACAGTTCACACCAATTAAAGGACAATATATAATAAAACAATCACAATATTGTTAAGAAACGAGAATGAAAAAAAGAGAAAAAAGAAAAACAATAACACTGTAATAAACATATAAATTAGACAGTTAGATGAAATTTAAGCAAGAGTTCTGCAATGTTTGTTACATATTAATATTAATCGAGTTAAGCAAATTTAAAAATATCACTGTGCTGACGAAGCGAATTGTAATTCGAGCATCATCGACACAGGAGTGATCTACGTAATAAATTTTTGGAGCCTTTAGATCTCATGTCAAATTTTTAACTTATGTTTAGGCCGATTTCAGGTAAGAACGCACCTCTTCAAATTGGTTGCAGTTTCGATGTGACTTTTGATCAGTTTACTTCATATGATTTCAGTAGAGAGTCTTGAATGTTTTTTTAGTTTAGTTTTTTTATATTGACTACGTTTTGCAAGGAGTAGTTGTAATCACTATAAAACAAATAAAAACAAATCTGGCGGTGGACATCAAAGTGTTAAACTAAACTAAGTATTAAACTATGAAGAGATCTGTGCTCGTTTTTACTTTATCTTTAAATTTAACGATAGGGCAGAAACAGTGAAGTAGTAGGTGATATTTGACTCTCTTTTCAAACGATATGTCGTCTAAGGATCTTTTGTTGACACGCAGAAGATTATGCAAGTCAAAATGAAGACTGTTGCCGATAGACATCTTGAATCTGTGAATAGCTTTGTGCTATGATAATTTTTTGGTATACATGCACGATACAACCAAATATATGGCAATGAGTAGTTTTATAAATATAATAAGCTCCACAACTTAAATGAGTATGCACTGATATATGCGATATGATATATGGGTATGCATGATATACTATAATTATATGCTTATCATCAATCAGCTATTTAAGTCGTCTCAGAGCGAGCAGTAATATTATAAGCTCAACAATTGAAATGAGTATGCACTGATGATATATATGATATGATATATGAGTATGCATGACATACTATAATTAGGTGCTTATCATCAATCAGTCCTCTAAGTTGTCTCAGAACGAACAGTAATATAATAAGCCCCAGAACTTAAGTGAGTATGCACTGATGATATATATGATATGATACATGAGTATGCATGATTTACCATAATTAGGTGCTTATCATCAATCAATCCTCTCAGTCGCTTCAGAGCGAACAGTACACTGCTAAGTTTTGCTTTCAATTCACCAACATGTTCCGAGCAATTAGGTCGATCGCTAACAACACTTATAGCTTTATTAGTTGATATCATCAGGTGTTGTGTCTTGCCAAGATTCAGTTTTAAGGGGTGATTTTGTTTGCTCAATCATGGAGTAAAAACACAGCGAACAGCAGAATATACCTACCTAGAAAACGACCTAGGACTTGATGAAAGCCCTCTCTCTGTCAGACTCGGGCGAGCAGGTTGAAACTTTGGAGGTTTTGTATAACTGGGAGGTTTTAAATAGATTCAGGCAAGAATAACTCTGCAACAATCGATCGAACGCAAACCCGGTGAAAGTAGAAAAAAAGGCACACGCCGGCGTGCAGGTTAGGATGCAACGTCGCCGCTTCAAACTGACCGTGCGGTTAGTTCAGCGACGTGACCAGGCCAAATTACGACCACGGTAAACTATTTTTCCCTGTAAATAAATTCCGTGTAATACCCTTGCCCCGCGCGCTACGTACGTCCAGAAAATCCGATAATCCTAACGGAGTTTCAGCTAACATGGAGTTATCTCGTTTCTGCGCGGAATCCACTTTGGAACTTTCCCGCAACTCCTCCGGTCGCGGTCATTTCTTCCCCTTAATCACTTTAGAAAGTTTCGATAAAACTTCTCGACGGCGGAGAATTCGATTTGCTCGAGCGAGGGGGGGCGCGGGGTGGCGCAAAAGGGGGCAAATTAAATAGACGTTTTCGGTTGATTAATTGGCGGAATCTTCTGTTGCAGACACGAGCTACTCCTACCATCCGGCCATCCACGACGACACGTTCGTTAGGAGGAAGCAGAGGAGGAACAGGACCACCTTCACGTTGCAGCAGGTGAGTTTATGTGGGGAGGGAGTCGATAGAAGACGCTGGACGCTGCCTCTGATGGGACAAGGCGGCCGTACTCAAGCTTTTTATTATTTTTTGTGGCTTTTAACCATCAAGTCGATTTATTTTTGACTAAATTTACCAAAATTTTGTGCTCCAGAATGGCCGTCGTAACCGAATGGCCCTTATTTATAATGTTATATATAATAATTATAATTATTTATTGAAACGCATCTAATAAAAAAAACGTTATTGATTAGTAACCATTTTTCTATCGATTAAACAATTTATTGTTGGTATTTATAAGATTTTCGAAAGCTCTGGCTTTAGGCTAAATTAATAGAATTATCCAAAAAATAACAGTTTCAGTTATTTTTGAATAGCGGCAAGGTTTTTAGGAACCCATCTTGCACTAACCTTATGCTCATGCAGGAATCGACGAATTTCTGAGATTTCCTTGACCTTTAAACGTCGATCACTTAATACCACCTCTTCCACAATCGCAACAATATCTGCCGTTATGACCTCCATTGGTCGACCAGTTCGTGAATCATCTTCAAGAAACTCCTGCCCCGTTCGAAACCGTTTTTCCCAATCTTTCACTACAGAATACGAAGGAGAACTTTGGGCGTACACATCATCCATTTAATAATTTTAGGTGCTAACCCCTCTATAGTCAAAAATTTTATGACTGCTCTATACTCAATTTGCGTTATGTGCGACATTTTTTCGTACACGTCTTGTTTAAAATGCTGTCAATAAAAAAAAACTATTTGACGCGAGATTTCAATTTTTTTTTCGCAGCCTACTAAGATACATATTTAAACGAAGATAAAATTTTATCGTGATCCTGGAGCTGGATCGTGATTTTGGCGCTATCCTCGTATAATAATAATCGAACTAATGTCGTCAGCAGATGTTTTTTAGACTTTACATTTTTCTAATCTCTTCTAGCGCTTGCATTTTGCGCTTCATCTCACTCTTGACTTTCAATTGCAATTTCAATAACGAATAAAGAGTTCAAAATTGATAACTCATTTTCTACTTCCAATTCATCGTTTTCACGTTACAGTTGGAAGAACTGGAAACGGCATTCGCGCAGACTCACTATCCGGACGTCTTTACCCGGGAAGATCTGGCGATGAAGATCAACCTGACGGAGGCCAGAGTCCAGGTGAGTCGAGCTTTCAGAATATCCTAAACGTTTCCATTTCCGAGTTTTATTTTCGAAATTTAATTCCATTAGGCCGGTTTATTTTCCGGAGTCCCCCTCCCGCCCCCCAATTCCAGCAAAGACGATTTTAGTAGGAAACGAAAAAGATGGAGGCAAAAAAAAACACGCTCCGACGGAAACTCTCCGTAAAGTAAATTAAAACGTCAGAGGGACGCTAAATAGACGCGTAATGTTGCTAAAAGCCGACATCAAATGGTAGGATTATTTATTTTAACTTGATATAAGGTCGCGTCGCCGTCGCCGCCGGGAGGGGGCGCTGCACTTTGCCGTTTTACGGAATCACTTAGGCAAGAAGATGTGTGATTAAAACCAATTTGATCTCGTGGAAAAGCCGCCGGGTGACGCTAATGCGCGTCAGCGGCGCGCTTACAGCGCCCTCTCGAGCGCGCGTCATATTTTAAAATAAAATTTACGCTGACGTCTTCGATAATTATATGCCCCAAGCGGTTGTTAATAAATAAATTAATAAATATCTGTTCATTTACTACTTTACAATAGAAAGTTTAGAAAAATCAATTTTAAAATTACTGTAAATAAATTAATGATTTGCAATCATGAAATTTCGATATTTTAGGTCGTAATTAGATGAAGAAAAATATATGACATAAAAAAGTTTCCTTGGTATTTGTGGTTCTAATTTTTAATTAGAAATAAATACATCCATTTTAATAAAATAACTAAAGAAGAAAAGATACCTCTAGAATGGAATAAAAGTGTGACCAAATTAATATTTAAAAAAGGAGACAAGAACAAGCCATCAAACTATAGAAGAATATCTTTGCTAGATACAATATCGAAAATTTTCACCAAAATCATAGCAGAACTAAGAGCAAGAATTCCGATATGCGAAGAACAGAAAGGTTTTACAAAGAACAGATCAACAACAGATGCCATCAAAAACGTTTGATATAATACGACTTAATGACATAGTATACTTACTAAAAAAAAAAAAATATCTCGTAAAATAATAAGAACTCATTTACAACTACTCCACTAAAATAAAAAAAGAGAAATAAACATCTAGGAATAGAAACGAAAACAAGAATCTATAAAACATGTATAAGACCAATACTTACGTATGCCATAGAAATCAGAACCAATACAAAGAAAACAAAACAAGCGCTAAGGACGACTGAAATGAAAACATTAAGATGCATAATTTTAAAGACTAGACGAGACTATGTAAGAAACGAAGATATCCGGCAACAATGTAATAATCAAGATATAGTAAGATGGGGACGAGAGAGAAGAAGAAATTGAAATCAACCCGTAACTATATTGGAAGACCACAGATTAGCAAAGATCACAAGAGATGGAAAACTCGAGGAGAAAAGATCAAGAGGAAAACCACAAAAAAGATGGCAATATAGCTGGTTATCAGAATCACAAATAAGATGAAATATAACCCAGTAAACACAAGTATGGATTTAAGATAGGAATAAGAGGAAGAAGAAGAAATCCATCCAAACAAATATGTTGATACGAGGTGTGTTCAAAAAGTGAGATGATATGTAAATTTTATCAAAAAGTACTTATTCATTTATCAAAATTAATTTTGTCCGCTTCAAACTAACCCCTCCAGATATAAAACACTTGTGCCAACGTTTTTTCCAATACTCGAAGCACTTCTCGGTCATCTTGGAACAGCTTGTACAATTTATAGACATTTTTTTTTTCTCAAAGCATATTTCCGATTGTTTTGCAGCACTGTATTCTATTCAGCCACTCACTTATTTTATAGTTAGTTCTACTGACACTGAGCAAATCAGGTGCACACAGGAATTGGTTTATAATTGGTAGCTGATTAGCAATTTCTGACTCATCCGTTTCCATTTACCTTCTATATTATTTCATCCGAAAACATATTTTTTTTTTAAATGGCCAACTACTGCAATTACTAATGGCAAAATTTCAGTTTTTCCATATAAATTAATAATTGTTTCTAAAGCCAGATTCTTTGTTTCGGCTATTAACTCATATTTTTGCTTTTGAAGGTTCAACATTTATTTATGCTCTACAGAATCTGAGATAGTAGCGATTTTTCTCTGCAAAATATCAAGAGCAACTGAGGTTAGCTTTAAATTGCTTAAATATTCTTGTGCTCCATGTTTGACTCGTTTTGGTAAATGGTGGAATCAATTTGGTTTTGGATTTCTTCACAGATTTTTAATAATATATCGCTCTGAGGTACGTACATCATTAAACAATCAGCAACGCTATTTTATAGCTAGATGGTTATCGCAAAAATACTTAACAATTTGGAATACATGTTCTTTGACATCTCGTATAAGTTATGACTTTTGGTTGACATATTGGTTGCGTTATCTATCAGAAAAGATTTGGCCTCGTCATAATGTGATTTACATGAAGAAATTAGGTCACAAACTACTTCAGTCAAATATTGTGAAGTGTGAGATTTTCCCGAAGTATTCATAGCTTCGTAATTTCTTTTCTTCCGTCCATTTAAACCTAATACTCGTATTTTCCATTACTTCCAGTCCTTTGACAAACCACCAACTAAATACGCGGGAAAAACAGGTCGCGAGAGAAATTTTCTTGCAAAAAGCGCGTTCTTTAAAATATTTTGTAATTGCTACAAAAAAAAAACAAATAATTCTTGATTTGAAAAAAAAAATGTCCGTAACTGACTGTTATTTGACAGTAATTTAGCTCTCAAAAATCCTAAAAGACTGAAAATCCGTAAATTTTCGGGTATCGTTTTAAGTCGCCCGCTCTTCTCCCCCGGCGTAAGATGTCCGCGATCGAACTCGATCGCCAGCAAAAAGAAAAAACATCCCTTATCCGCGGATCGTCCCGTTTTAACCCCCGAGAGGGTCGCAGGAGCACGTCATGTTCTTGTAAAACTCTAAACCCGACAGTAACACTCTAATCCGATGCGGGGGCCGCCCCCGACCCCCTCGAACCCCCACCCATTGAACCTGAACGGCCACTGTAAAATGTCCGTTAACTCGCCCGCTGATGCAATTTCCTCAACCTCCGCAACGTCAAAAAGTATCCCCCGATTGATCGGATAAACCGTGACGTGTGTGTACGTCAAAAATCGTGAGGGAGGTACGGCGACGGGGGCGGGGGGAGGGCGGAGAACGATGCGCAAAATAAATTCGATTTTTCAAAGAAGCGCGAGGCGTGCGGCATCTTGCGGTCCGGGGTCCCCGGACGGCGGTCTCTGACACGGACGGAGGCCGACGTTTCGAGTGTCGAATTACCGTCATCCTAATGGATGCGGCTATTGTATCGTTGCCTCCGGACGAGAACGGCATATTTTCGTCGTCCACGAATACGCGGAAAGACGTTTAAACTGACCGGGGATATCGACTCCCCAGGAGCATTTCAGAAGTGGGATTCGCCGCCGTCCGCTCGCTCCATTTTTGAAAAATACAACAATCGTATGTCGGGGTAAAGTCTGTTTCCCTTTTAAATAAATCAGCGGTGGTGTCTTCATGGTAATCCAGAAAAGAATCTTTAATATTTTTCGCAGACAGAGAACATGCAAAGTAATTATTCTTTACCTCTTTTTGATGGCGCGTTTGTTTTACACTTATCAGTTGAGTCAACCCAACGCTTTTCCAGAATATCATAAGTGTCGAACCAGGTTTCATTCAAGCAAATAATTCGCCTTTGTTCTCTGTAAATCCTAATTTTTCTGGATATTTCAGTCGCCATTTCCGAATTCTAAAAGTCTCCCTTAAAACTGGCCTTCTGTCATTTTTTTTAAATCTAAAACCCGTATATTGAATACACTTCCATAAGCTAGTTCAGCCACATTTAACACCGGTTCCATCTTTTTCAAGCCTCCTAATTAAGATATCTAAAGTAGGCATGCTTTGTTCCTCTTTTAACTGGTAAATTTTACGACGTATTATATCTTGATTGCTTTCATCTACAGTCGACAAAAAAATCAGCATCGCTTCTTTTTTTCCTCGCTGAAATGGAATTATTCACAATTTTCCATACAGTTGATGTTGGAATTTTCGTCAATGTGGCCGTTTCTTCTAAAGATGCTTGCTTGCTGGCACCACGTTCCATGAGAGTCAAATAAAGGTTGTTTACAACTTCCTTAGTTTCAATAGAATAGTGTTTTCTACATTTGGGCGGGAGCATCTCCTGAGATACACTAGACTCGCACATATTTTGCATAATTCGCACACGATTCAACACACGCTGTATTAAACAACCAACATACCAAACCAAAGAATATTAAACACAGGTAGGTATAAAATTATTTTCTATTACGGGCCACAATTTTACCTGAATTTAAATTCCGAGACTTTAGGTAATAATCTTGTTGCATTGTATGTTAATGACCACATAGCATCCAAAAGCAATTGGTCACTGTCTTATATTTATGAACAGACCATACTACTTTCTAATTGTAAGAATTGGACCCAATTTTATGACCGCAAATTTTGTAAGCTCCCAAACAACAAACGAGACGGCTCCGAAAATTACCCCTCTCCCTCTCGCCGACGGCCGTCAAATAATCAAAAGCCAATAAGGGATGATCCTTTTACGCGCGCACCGATCATAATTATCATCATCAACCGCTACACGAGTATATTTGCGTTATTAACAATTTATCCATTCCGAGAGGGGGATTACATTTTAAGAGAATGGGGGGAGGGTTGTTTATGGCCCGGCTTACCGCGCGGTGCCGCCAAGGGGGTCGAAAATTCGCGTCCCGACACAAAGGATAACATCTGTTGCGGTTTGGCGGGGCGGGGGGGCGGCGGATGCGGATTTTTTTTTACCCGCCAGCGTTACGTATACATATACGCGTATGTGCAAGTTTGCTTTGGTTAAATTGGTCGAGAGTCTGTTTTATTTGTTTCCGAGCGGATGATCCCACTTCTGATTTGTGGCAGGAGAGAGACGATAATGACACAACATAAACAGTTTTATAAGGCCTTTCGGCTTCCAAC